GACGGTGGGACGTTGGCTTGCATCCCGTGCCGAGATGGCGAGGCCGCTGCGTGTGTGCCTGCGGTGGGAATCACGGTGCCATTGGATGGATGTGTGTGGGACACCTTTTGCATTGTGCTGGAGGCCGGCTGACGCGGCTGCACGATGCCCGCCATGCGTGAAGGTGTTGCCTGCTCTTGGGGTCATTCTTCTCTCCTCGTTGTTTTTGCTTTGCCGTGTGCGTTGCTCGGTGTGTGCTGACGCGTGACGGACGGTGCCACGATGGCCTCCTCTGGCGATGACAGTCGCTGTGCTCCTGGCACACATCCACACACAATTCCCTGTGTATCTCTGCGGGAGCTGGATGAGTTGAAGATCGATTACAGCCACACGGACACCCGCACAGTTGCTGCGCTGGACTTCTTCCAGCACTGCGATGCCGCCGGCTGCACGACGTTGTGGTACAACAAGTACAACAAGATGCAGTGCATGACGGCCAACCTGATCCGTGTGTGGTTGCAGCGCATGGAGCACGTGGGCCAGTACGCGTTGGGCGCTGCACTCATGATTGTGGAGGAGAGGCGGCACGACATTGTGGCGCCGTGTGTGTTGGGCGGCCGGGCATGCCGGCGATTGTGAGGGCCGTGGTGGACACGGAGCTGTTTGACTGGGAGGAGCTGGCGGACGTTGCGGCGCAGCGGGAGCGCATGACGGACTGCCTGTGCTGAGAGGGCCGGACGATCCCGAGGCCTGTGCTGGAGGCTCTGAGGAAAGAGAGTAACAGTAATGGTGACTGTGGAGTGTGAGAAACGGTGCACGGCGAGGAGCGCTCCTCTTTTGCTTTGTTTTGATTGTTGTTGAGCGGCGCCCACCTCATTTTTGTTGTGGTGCGTGACTCTCGTTGCTGGATTGGGTGGTGCGTGGTTGTGTGATTTGTCTCTCCTTTTGCTTTGAGTTGGCGGAGTGTTAGTTTGTGCTGAAGGCTGCACGCAAGTGACAGGAGTGATGGCGATGATGACTGGCCGTGTGCTGCTGGTGTGTGCCCTCTGCGTGCTGTGGTGCGGCGTTTCGGTGGTGATGGCGTCCAACGTTGGTGGTTTGGCTCCTCACGCAGAAATCAACGTTTTTTTTGGCCGGTGGTATTCATTGATGATGGGCGATTGTGAAAATACTTCAGCGTTCGAAAACGGCACGGTGAATGAGTCCGCAGTTGAGGAATGCAAACGTGAAGCGAAAAAGGCCCTTTGTGACTTTTTTTATGGCGACCATTCGGGTGAACATGACGCATCTCATTTGCACTCTATTTGTTCGCCGGATGTTGGCTCCGGAGGGGCTGTTGATCAGCAGGCACAAGAGCAAATCCTCACGTTGCGT